CGCGGGCACGGGCGGGCGGTGTGTGACACCCACGTGTGCACGGCGGGGCGTGGGTAGGTGGGTGGCACCTGCGTGTGCAAGGAAGGGGTTGCAGCCTGTGACGCCCACGTGTACAGGGAGGTGGCTGGGGTGCAGCCTGTGGCACCCAGGTGTGTGAGGAGCAGGGTGCAGCCTGTGACGCCCTCGTGTGCAAGGGGGGGTGCAGCCTGTGGCACCCACGTGTGCAAGGAGGTGTCTGGCGTGCAGCCTGTGAGGCCCACGCGAGCTGCGGCTGGGCAGCGCGTGCCACAGGTGCGGGCGGCGCTGCCTGCCATGGAGGTGAGCCACTCGGTGAAGGAGCGCACCATCGCCGAGAACAGCCTGGTCATCCTGCTGCAGGGCCTGTGCGGCCGCGTCACCACCGTGGAGCTGCGTGACGAGAGCTGGGCCGCGGGGCGCGTCACCAGCGTGGACGCCTTCATGAACGTGCGCCTGGCCGACGTCACCTTCATGGACAGGCAGGGTGCCGCGCGCCGCCTGGACGAGCTCTTCGTGACGGGCAGGAACGTGCGCTACGTCCACATCCCCGATGACGTGGACATCCGCGCCACCATCGAGCAGCAGCTCCAGGCCATCCAGCGCGTACGCTACTTCGGCGGCCGTGACAAGGGCAGGAAGGAGTTTCCCCGAACGAAGCGCCCGTGATCCCGTGGCTCCAGCACCGTCACCACGGCACGGCACCGCACGGCCAGGACGCCGGGCTCCTGCACGCCGCCTCCGCGCCCTGTCCTGCGTGTCCCGCTGGGCACAGCGAGGGGAGCCCTGCTGCAAGGGGACGTTTTGCTCTTCTAATGAACAGCCCTGCTTGAAAGTGTCGTGACTCTTCCCCTCGCGTCATGCTGCCCGGCGGGCAGCCCCTGTGTGTCCCTCCCTGCTCTCCCCGTTCTTCTCCAACAAAGCGCTCCTGTCAGAGGCGGCCGTGTGGTGTCACTGTGGGCTGTGCGGGGCGTCCTGCGCGGGCAGCCGCTGCGCTGCGGGGCGGCCGCAGTGCCGCCAGCCCCTGCGGTCCGCGTGGCCCCTGGGTGTCTGTGCCGCGCGGGAGGGCCCGGGGCGCGGGGCTGGGGCGCGGGGCTGCACAGGGCCGCGCTGCTCCGCGGGCCCCGGCCGCTCCCGCTCCGCTGCCCACGGGGCGACGGCCCCTCGGGGGGGCCCAGTCCTTCCCCCGGCGAACCGGGGCGGCTGCGGCCCCCGCCACTGCGCAGGGGCGCCCGCTTCGCCGAGGGGGCGGGGCTCCCCACAAAGCCCCCGGCTCTCCTCCAATCACGGCGCTTTCGAATCTCCCGCTTGTCCACCAACCGCCTTTCTCTCCCACGGCCTGGCACTGCCGCAGCCAATCAGCGGGGGGACCCGTGCCACTCCAGCCAACAAGCAACGCTGTTACTTTCCAGCCTTCCGGGAGTCAGCCAATCAGGCCCTACCTCCTCCGAGCCCCCCCGCCAATCCCCTTCCTCCTAACGCAGCCATTCTGCCAACGGCCCAATCATCGCGCGCCGCTCCACGCCGCCGTGTGCGCGGCGGCCGGCAGGGGGCGGTATGGCGGGGCGGGTAGGGCGGCGTGCGTCACTTCCGTTGTCAGGTGGCCGCGCAGCGCAGCGGAGGCCGCGGCCGGGCGGGGGCTGCGGAGGCGCCGGCGGCCGCGCGCCCCGGGGGCCATGGG